AGAGAGAGAGAGAGAGAGAGAGAGAGAGAGAGATGATTTTGGTCAGATCTGAGATCCCGTCTTAGATCTGGTCCTGGCCAGATCTCAGATCTGTTCTTACGCAGATCTGAATAACTTCATAGTTTAAATTTTCAATTTCATATGAATATGAATTAGAAAGTCTAACTTCAAAGTTCAAAGTTCTGCTTCTTTCTGATTTTCTGAAGTGTCTTGGGATTGGTCTGTTGAGAACTGGTTTCAAGTGTTGTGTGGGCCTTTGTGAATGTCTGTGACAGTATGAAGCTGTCAAGTTGTGAATAGTGAAAGACTGTAAGTATTTAGTTTCATCCCCTTACTCGCAACTGCCATTGATTGTGTTCATTAACTGACTTCATTTGTGTTTAGTACTGTTTATTACTAATGATTTTTTATTTTATTTTTATTTTTTTCCCTGTCCGGACATTTTTTGTGTCTGGTGTACCGGTCCAGACGGCCCGGGTCTTGTCCTGTCCGGTTGTCCGGTGCCTGTCCGGATTACCGGAAGTCTGGACCAGTCCAGACAAACGTCTGGGCCTCGGTTTATGTCCGGGTCCGGGTCCGGGGTTGCCATGGTATATCCACTTTGCGGCCGCAAAATGGACGTCATTATGAATGCATGCTGAGCCATACTCCTCTTATGATGGCCATCGTTCTTTTGTCCTGGCTTGAAACCAACATGCATGCTGAGCCATGCTCCTCTTCTGATGGCCATCGTTCTTTTTTCCTGGCTTGAAACCCACATGACTATTATCAGGAGAGCAGTGTCTGTTGGTGTGGACCATCGCAAATGCCAGCCGTCGTGGCGACAATTGCGCTGTGAATGCGCAGCTAGGTCTTCCATGTCATCCATCAGTTCCGGAGCTCCAATAGAAGTCTCTTCTGGACCCTCGGCTCCGCCAACCACAATCAATGGGAGCAAAGTATCTCGACCCTGAAAAAAACCCTGAAAATTTAGGGCTCTGTTAACCGCTTCTCGCGTGTGGAGGGTGAGTGCTTACAGGAAAAGGTAACCATCATCAGGTTGCATGCGGAAGTCAAAGGAAGAAGAGGGAGGAAGAAGGGAGAGGGAGAAGGAAGAGAAAGAAGGAAGAGGAAGAAGGAAGAAGGAAGAGAGAACTGTGTTGCAGTTGCTTGCCTTTGTTATTAACTCTGGAGTGTAGTGAGGATTTGCCCTCTTTGTTGTCATGTAAAAGCGGAATCCAGGAGAGTATTCAATTGTGGCATCTCCGATACGCACGCACATAGTCCCCTGGCTCTTGAATATCTGTTTCAGAAGCAGAGGCTCAAGGACAGGGTCCACGTCTTCGCCGATGTTCTCCAGCAACATGGGTGTCCCAAGCTGTAATTTGCAGAAATGGGAAATAGAAAAACACGATGGGAACCAACGGGCCTAGCTCAGTTGGTACACCTACGAACTGTTGAAACATAGACCCAAGTTCGAATCCATATACAATCAGATGACCAGAATAGAATCATTCTGAATTGCCTGCCTGGGGCCGGTAAGTTCAATGATGACACCTCAAGGTTGTTGCCTTATACATTGTCACAGAACTATTGGCTAAGAGTGCAAACACGTGAAGTAGAAGAAGAAATAAGATGAGCGAAGAAAAGAAAAAATGAAAGGACAGACAGGCAAAGAGACGGACAAACTAGAAAGACAGAAAACAGTGTCTTCTTCTATATATATATTGTCACAAGAGTATCAGAGCGCAAATGCGAACAAAAAGAACAAAAAGGAAATGACGATATATATATATCGTCAAATAGAACTGCCCGGTAAACCGTAGGCAGAGAGGGAGAAGAGGACAACAAACGAGGGGCTGTGACAAACTGTTTCGT